CCAGTGTTTGGTTATTAAGTGAAAATATTTTCCAAATTCCTTTTTTCATAATTTTCCGGTGTTTGGTTTGTCAATGAAAATATTTTCTAATATGTTTGTTGATATGTTGCAAATATTTTTCTACTCTCAAAACATTCATTTCATTACAAGTTAATTTTAGTTTCTATCCATTATAATCATATTATCATTTCTATAAAATATTTATTCCTATTACACAACTTCCTAAATTATGTGTAAGGATCTAAAACTTAAATTTCCTTTGAGATCTCTATATGTGAATCTCAGGGATGAACATGGTCACCAACATTGATTCTCTTCGTAGGAACCTGAGCAACAACTCTTTTCGACCGTCACAAGTTCCAGCATGGTTCTCAACCTTAAAGTCACTAACCACTTTGTGAGTATTAATCACTATGGAATCAATACTAAAAACTCCTTCATTTTTCTTATTAAAATTTATGGAATGGTGATCAGGGCTTTGAAAAATGCTCCACTCCAGGGACAAGTACCCCAGCAACTTTTTAGTTTACCTCAGATCCAAATAGTGTATGTTTAAAAATAAGCAATCTCGAAGAAAGAAAGCATTTGGATGCTACCTGGAGAAGTGAAAGAACTTATTTTGCTAGCATTAACTTTTAACAGGATTCTGAGGAAGAACGCATTCAATGATACATTGGATATGAGTAACAACATTAGCCAATTCTCTTTCCTAACCAAACTGCTAAATATTCTCTCTTTACTCCAGCTTGATGAGGAATCTAGTATGCACAAGTTCAATCGCAAGCACATCTTACTGTCAGCCACAGAAACGATCTGCAACAAATTGTTCAACCAGCCTCAAGTGCTGCACCGTCTTCTCCAAAACCCAAAACTTAGGAAGCTGTGCAATTTTCTCTCCAAATCAACCTTTATTTATGCTGTATAAATTAGAATCCATAAATAATTTTGCCACAAAATGTGCAGCCAGATCATCAACCAACTTGATATTTGGTATCTGGTAATGAAAACTAATTATCATCTTCTTTAAGGACCAACTTAAGCAACAAGCCAAGCAGAATACCACAAAACATGCAATCATTTAAGACACAAAATTGAAGAAAGAATAATTTGTCTTTGACGTAAGCAGATGATAAACTTAAGTAACAAGCCAAGGAGAATACCTCGGTATAACCATTACCAATACCCACACCTTTTGAATCAGAAAATAATCATAACTGAAACCTTTATCCTAGGAATTTACATCAATACACAACTTGCAGCAACACCAACACCGCTATTGCCAACATTATGCAGTTAGGTCTGCAACATTGATTCTAACAAGTATGTCTTCTTTTGACAACTATGGTTCCAGACAGAAAAAACAAAGCACTCTCCAAGGGTCAGTTTCCACCAAGAGAAAATTGCTTAGTGTCTTTAAATAGTCACAATCAACATCTTGTTCATCTGATCATACTACAAGCAATAACCACTGATTACAACAAAAACAAGAATGTAAGCTTAATGAAACAGTCCAAGCTCCCATGTCCATTCCGCAGCTTCGTAAAAATCATTAAAGGACATTGCTCTAAACAAACTAGTATACAACACTAGAACACCGGCAAATGCCAACAATTGAAATCCACAAGAAGCTTAGGAGGACAAATGATAATCCGTCAACAACCGTAACAAACATATTCAATTACAACTTCCTCAATAGTCCATATCCTAAAGAACAAACTCTGCTCCAAATGAACAAACTAAATGCCTAAGTCAAGCAACTCTCCACCCCAAATCTTTAAAGATAGTCAGAATTGCAAGTTCAAGTTCCCAATAGATAAAAAGCCAGTGAAATTAATAATCATATTTCTAGAATCATAAAACCCCCAAAATTCAGCAGCCAAATTAATTCATTAGCATCAATCAAATCAAATGTAACTCTAATCAGGTAAGAACAAACTAAAACAAAAGCAACCCACAAAAATTCATTCAAATCCAACTTTGAAAGGAAACAGACGAAATTTGTGTGCAATTGTATATACAAACACAGTGAAGCTGTTTATGCGTGAAGACGAGAAACTGAGAGTTAAAAAAACCTGCCGAATGAAGATGACTCATGAGTATATAGAATATGTAGTGGTAGCCGCCGAGATAGTGTCGCCGGAAGGGGTGATCGCCACTGAGGACTGACGCCGGAAGAAGCGGGAATGGGGGTTCTTCGGGAATGAAAGGGAAAAAAAATGAGAGAGAGAAAGAGAGAGAGATGCCGGAGTAGTTTACCAGATGAGATGCCGGGAATGAAAGGTATTGTCCCTTGGATTTGTTTGTTGATGTCGAAAATCCTTGCGAGGCTGTGAAAAAAAGGCTGAGGAAAATAACTTCACAATAAAGGCTAAGGAAGTTATTTTCCTCCCATGGATGTAACTTATTTTCTGTCATAAATTATTTTCTCTAATTATTTGGTTACCAAACACTGGAAAATCTGGAAAATATTTTCCACCCAAACAAACAGACCATTAATGGAATAAAATTTCGTATAATTAATTGTGCCAAATCATAATCATCAAATCCAGATAGTATATGATAGTGGTTATTATAAATGGGATAATCTATGAGTCTTAGGATAGCTAGACTGCCATCATTAATAAATTTCTGTCAGGCAAGAGCTCCTGAGCCAGGTTCGGTCAGTAGCAGATTTGGGAAAAGAATTTGGGGAGAAGAGAGAATTGAGTGAAAAGAGAGAGAAGGCAAGAGAGATTAACCGAGAAGAGAGAGAAAGTGATTCTGGTATTAAGCTTTTGATGATCCCATAACAGCAAATGAATGGGATCTTATACAATTCTGTTGTCTGTTGCAACTAACTCTAACTAACTGAATTAATCTAACTACGTCATTTAAGACGTTATGCAATACAATCACCAAACGCACAGCACTCCTCACCAAACGACATCCCTTAGACGTTGGGACCTGACATTCCCTTCCTAATAAGGAATGAGCTTGTCCTCAAGCTGAAAAATCAGGAAACTGCTTGTCAATGAACGTTTTGTCCTCCCAAGATGCCTCAGTTTCTGGCAAATGATTCCATTTGACCAAATATTGAATGATGAGTTGAGAGTTTCGTAGAACAACCCTCCTCCTTACTACCCTCTCCGGCTGTAAAATACACTGGTCAGAAGCATCAAACTCAGGCAGGGTAGGTTCAGTGCCCTGGCCTACCCCAACCTTCTTCTTCAACAGAGAAATGTGAAAAACTGGGTGTATTCTGGCCTTCTCCGGAAGCTGTAGCTTGTAAGCTGCTGCACCAATCTTCTCAATAATCTGGAAGGGTCCATAGTACTTAGGAGACAATTTTAAACTCTTCCTGATGGCCACTGTCTGCTGTCTATAAGGCTGCAGTTTCAGGAAGACCCATTCACCTACTTGGAAGGACCTCTCTGTCCTATTTTGATCAGCAAAGTGTTTCATTCGATTCTGAGTCTTGGCCAGATTATCTTTGATGTTTGCTAGAACCTGAAGTCTCTTCTGTACCATACCAACAGCTGCCGGTACAACACTATCATGGAAGGGTCCTAAAGGCAGATGCAATGGTTTATATCCATATAAAGCTTCAAAAGGGGTCAGCTGCAGACTTGTGTGAAAATTAGTATTATACCACAGCTCAGCTGCAGACAACCAAGTACTCCAGTGGGATGGATATTCACTACACATACACCTCAAGTAGCTTTCAAGACACTGATTAACCCTTTCACTCTGACCATCAGTTTGAGGCCGATATGATGAACTATACTGCAATCCAACCCCCAAGGCACGAAACAACTCCTGCCAGAATTTGCTAATGAAGACTTTGTCCCTGTCAGAGGTAAGGGACTCAGGTAGACCATGCAACTTATACACCTGGTCAAGGAACGACTGAGCTACCTGGTGTGCAGAATAAGGGTGGGATAACTTCATGAAGTGACTGTACTTAGTGAAACGATCCACCACTACCAGAATGGTATCATACCCATTAGATAGAGGCAGCTGCTCGATAAGATCTATAGTCAGGTGTGTCCATGCCTGTTGAGGAACTGGAAGTGGTTGCAGTAGTCCTGGATAAGGGACATTTTCATGCTTATTCCTCTGACAAGTATCACAAGCCTGAACAAACTGTACAACATCCCTTTTTATGCCTGGCCAGTAGAATATAGATTGTATCCTTTGTAGACAGGCTCTTTGACCAGAGTGACCCCCAACAGCTGAATCGTGTAGAGCCTTGATCAAGCTGTGCCTGATTCCATTAGCTGCTCCCACATATAGTTTTCCCTTGAATTTGAGCAATCCTTTCTCCAGCTGGTACCCTGAACAAGCATTAGGGTCTAACAACAATTGAGACATGATATCCAAAGCTACAATGTCACCATCATAACTCCCCACTAGCTCCTTCACCCAAACTGGTTGCACAGCTGAGAGCACACAGAGGTGCTTTCCTTTGTCTGGCTCCTCGTTTCCTCCATCCAACCTCCTTCTAGACAGGGCGTCAGCTACCCCATTTTCAGTCCCCTTTTTATACTGAATCTCATAGTCCAGGCCAAGTAACTTGGTAAGCCACTTGTGCTGTAAATGATGGGTAAGTCTTTGCTCCAACAGATACTTATTCCTAAGTTCTGAGGAGAGAGGGCTTTGCTAATGAAAGCTATGGGGTGGCCCTGCTGCATTAACACTGCCCCAATGCCCACACCACAAGCATCAGTTTCTATCATAAAAGGAAGCTCAAAATTTGGCATTTTGAGAACTGGTGCAGTAGTCATGGCCCTTTTGAGATCTTCAAATGCTAACTGAGCATTGTGACTCCATACAAAGCCTTCCTTTTTCAGCAACTGAGTTAATGGTTTACAGATGATCCCATATCCCTTAATAAACCTTCTATAGTATCCAATTAACCCCAAGAATCCTCGCAAGTCCTTAACTGTGCCAGGAGTAGGCCATGATTGGATACATTCCACCTTGCTCATGTCCATACTCACTCTTTTCTTAGAAATAATGTGTCACAAATACTCCACTGAAGTTTGAGCAAAAGAATATTTAGACTTTTTGCAATACAGCTGGTTGTCAGCTAAGATGCTCAACACAATCTTCAAATGCTGTGCGTGTGCTTCCAGTGTAGGACTATAAACCAGAATGTCATCAAAGAAAATCAATATGAACTTCCTCATATAAGGTTGAAATATTCTGTTCATCAAAGATTGGAAAGTGGCTGGTGCATTAGTGAGGCCAAATGGCATCACCAAAAATTCAAAATGGCCATGGTGTGTCTGGAAAGCAGTCTTAGGTATGTCTGCTGTCTTGACTCTCAGCTGATGATATCGAGCTCTGAGGTCTAGTTTAGACATATACTTAATCCCATGTAGTTCATTCAACAGCTCATCAATGTTTGGGATAGGGAACCTGTCCTTGACAGTAAGTTCATTTAGCTTCCTATAATCCACACATAGCCTCCACGTATTGTCTTTTTTCTTAACCAACAGCACAAGAGAAGCAAAAGGACTACAACTGTGCTTAACAATCCCATTTGTAAGCATTTCAACCACCTGTTTTTCAATCTCAGATTTATGTGCGTGGGGGTACCTGTAAGGTTTAAGTTTAAATGGCTTTGCTCTTGGCTTCAAGGTAATTTGATGATCTAATTCCCTCTCAGGAGGCAGTCCTTGAGGGGTTTCAAACACCTGAGAGTACTGTTGCAAGACTGAGGCCACTTGTTTTGGAATATCCTCCTCTTGATTGCCCTGGGGGTCCACCTGTAGAGAGGCACAGCTCCTTTGCTTTTCTTGTATAAATGTTCTAAGATCTTTACCTCTTACTAGTTTCATCACAGGTTGGTTAATGAAGCCTTGGAGATGTAATAAGTCACCCCTGCTACTAAGAGCAATACTGAGTGCATGGAAATCAAAAGTGATGGGACTGAATTGACACATCCAGTCAACTCCTAAGATGATATCGCAGTTCCCTAACTCCATTATCTTCAGATCGAATTGGAACTGATAGTCCTGTATTAACCATCTAACACCTGGACAAATTGTGCCACTAGTGATGTCAGTGCCATCTGCCAAAGTTACAGTAAAAGGTCTGACTGTTTGATAAAGGAGCTGAAGAGACTTAACCAATTGATAGTGTATGAAGCTGTCAGAACTACCAGTGTCCACCAGGATCTTGACAGGTATTCCACCTAAGTTGCCTAGTAGCAAAATGGATTTCCTCTGTATTGCTGCTGCTAGAGCATTCAGTGACACTTCAGCCAATTCTCCTACCCTCCCAGTCAGCTCATCTTGTTCTCCTTCCGCATCTTCGAATTCAGCTTCATCCTCTTCCTCTATACCTACACAGTTCAATCCCCCAGACTTACACTGGTGACCAACTCCAAATTTATCCCCACATCTATAACATAGGCCATGCTTACGCCTATACTGCATTTCCTCAGCCAAAATCCTACTCACTTCTCTGGATCTAGTGTCAACCTTCCTATTAGTAGGATCAATAGCAGGAAGTTTATAGGAGCTGGAATTGTTTTGGCTATTACTGTGATTTCTAAACATCCCATACTTAGGTTCAACCGCAGTCCTTCCTGAGGTCTTAGGTTGCTTGGACATGGTTTCCAGTGAGCATTCCTGCAATTCAGCAACCTCAAACGCTTTGGATAGAGTCTGTGGTTTGAACATTTTGACCATTGGTTTAATCTCATCCTTTAAACCACTAATGAAACTGGATATAAAATAACCTTCATCCAGCCTAGGATTTCTGATCAACATGAGCGTTTTCAATTCCTCAAACTTCTCCTCATACTCTTTTACTGTCCCTTTTTGTTGTAATTTGTTGAATTCCTCAACCACATCACGTGACCACTTCCCTGCAAACCTTTCATACAACAGCTCGCAAAATTCAGACCAATTCAACCTAGGTTTTTCCAGTCTAACTCCCTGGAACCAATTATCAGCTCTCCCTTCTAAAAACATTTCTACCATATCTACCCTTTGATTTTCAGGTATTTGATAATTCAAAAAGTATTTATGGCATTTCCTCAACCATTCTCTAGGATTACCAGATGCGAACATAGGCATTTCAAGTCTTGGCAAGCTGGGAGTAAAAATCTTAGCTGTAACCTCCGGTTGAGCTCCATGCACCTCTGTGGACGTCATGAGCTTAAAATGCGGTGGAGGAGTCGGTAGGAGTGGTTCCGATGAGCCTGCCTCTGTCTCCGGCATACTTTTTTCTTTCATCATCACCTTCAGTAGCGCATTGAGTTTCATTTCCATCTTACTGAACCTCTAGTCCAGGTTGCCTACCATCGCCTCTACCTTCGCGTTGTTCTGCCCAAGCTCCTCCTGAAGTTTCTGCTGCAAGCTATTCTGGCAGGAGGTCTGAACTGCGGCCATGGTCTCCATTACCTCCTGAAGTCGAGTTTCTTGTTTCTTGAGCTGTTCCTCCAGAGAATGATACCTGGTGTTTTCAGCCATGGGTAGTGCCTCCAGCAGCCAAGGATCGGCTGCTTTGATACCAATTGTCAGGCAAGAGCTCCTGAGCCAAGTTCGGTCAGTAGCAGATTTGGGAAAAGAATTTGGGGAGAAGAGAGAATTGAGTGAAAAGAGAGAGAAGGCAAGAGAGATTAACCGAGAAGAGAGAGAAAGTGATTCTGGTATTAAGCTTATGATGATCCCATAACAGCAAATGAATGGGATCTTATACAATTCTGTTGTCTATTGCAACTAATTCTAACTAACTGAATTAATCTAACTACGTCGTTTAAGACGTTATGCAATACAATCACCAAACGCACAGCACTCCTCACCAAACGACATCCCTTAGACGTTGGGGCCTGACAATTTCATAGCGAGCATTAGGCACGCACCCTGGATGCTACTGAATACTAGTAAAACCAAAATGGGAGGAGGGGCGGGGAAAAAGAAACTGATTTCGGAGCCATCAAAAGAGCAATGACGTATTCTGATCTGAATCGCAACTTCCAGAACAACGTAGTAGCCGGACCATCATTTCACAACCAACCCATATGTTTTACAACAGAAACATTCATTTTGCACTTCCCAGCGACAGCGTACTGAAAGTTAGAAAAAAAAATACCAGTACAAAATGCGTTCCATTGTCAGGCCATGAGACGGAGCAATAGTGCTCTCGTGCAACCTGATTCGAACGAGAAAATCTCAATGAACCTTGAGAGGACAGATATGGATGGCCTGGTATAATCAGCCTCTAAACCAGATCAGCAGCCTTTGAGGAGCAATTTTCTTTATACATCAAAATATATATTTTGGCCTCTCAGTTGGATTCATATCAGCGATCACAGGCCTCGAGGGAAGGGAAATTACACAAATAACACGACCATTCATCATATCACCGGGTACACTTTGCTATGGATTCAGATTCTGTTCTGAAGTCTTTGCCACCTTCACTTGTATAAGTTTGTCTAAGATGGGCTGATCCAAAGGAACAGGATCAAGACAACGTTCTGCAGCAGCAACCACCACCTGTAAATCAAAGCAAAGGCCAACCCGGTGATTTCTGTTGCAAAATTCTATCTCATTCGAAAAGCAGCCATACACTACCATGACTTAAAAGCACTTTCTTACCTCATCAAGTAGGAAATCAGTAGCAGCCTCGTCTTCAGAAGTATCCTTAAGAGTAGTTCTGAGAAATTCAATGTCCAACTGAATTTGCTGAAATCCCCTCCGATTGAATGTTTGGAGGCGAACAAACTCTTGCAAACTCTTCAAGCAAAGTTTTAAAATTGTAGTTACAACTGATTCCTGCAATATGATATCAATATTATCACAGCTTTATTTGGGAATAATGTAAATTACCCAGCAACAAGCACTCCTACCAAACCTGTGTGAATTCAATTTTCGTAAATATCTCCACTTTTTGTTTAAACAATTTTGCTAGATGGGTTTCCAGTAGCTGGCTCCTGGCCCTTTGGGTATTTGACCGGTTCATTCTGTCATCTCTCAAAGGATTGCTGCGAGAAGAAGTGGTGCTCCCGTTACTGTCTGTACGATGATGTTTACGGCTAAGTTCTGGAGGTAAAATCTGCTTTACTTCGCCTCTTATGGCTTCGAACTAAAAGCAAGATTAATGAAGAAAGTAAGTTCCTTGGTTATCAAAATGTCAACGAAAGAATGAGATGAAGAAAGTTAACTTTCTCAGACTTGAACTTTTGTGCGACACACACACACACGCACACGCACTCTGACAGCTCCAACATCTTATATTCTCATTTCTCCCTCATAAAAAATATGCACATTGCAAGAGGTCAGAAATTGATCACAGCTTAAGAAAACATTTATATGATACGAATCAGAGTTTACAACAGAAAGATCATGTTAGAAAATGAAAGAAATTACCTCTTGAAGCAGCAGATCAACAAACATATGAACCTCTCTTGGCTCCTTGTGCTATAGGAGAAGCTCAAAATATCAGCCAAACTTATGAAGGGTATAGATTTTGAACTATTCACTGCAAAAATTTTACAGAATTAACTAACCTTAACCCAGTTTGGTGTTGTAAACCTCTTTCGCAACAGAACTGATATCTTTTGAGTTCTTAATCTTACATACTGAAAGAAAAAAATAAAGTACTCAATGGCTACTTTTTACATCAGATTCAGAAATTTATATTTACTTCAAGCAAGGATTCCACTTTCATCTTCCATTCTCTTAGGCAAGATATGACCTCAAAGGATCTGATTGTGTCCAGAATCTAGTGAGCTAGGGTAATAGTCCTCCAAAATTCACTACACAAATGTGAAAAGTAGAGATTTTGCATGTAGAAACTGAAGTTTTGAATGAGAACAAGAAATTTGGCTTCTTTGAAATAATAATATGAGATAGATTTTGAGTCTCGAATCTAGCGAGCTAGGCTAATAGCCCTCCAAATTTCACTACACAAACATAAAAATTTTGCACATAGAAAGTGAAAGTTTTTGAGCAAGAACAAAAAATTCAGCTTCTTTTAAATAATAATCTAAGACATTTTCCTTGAATTATTGAAATTCAATTAACCTATGCAGTAATAATCATGAAATTACTGATGTTGCTCAGGCTGACATGATATTCTTGCTACCATCAAGTCCAATAGTCAAACATGGTTGTGAGCAGAAATTAGAAAAGAACCTTAAGGAAGATCCCTAGAGCATAATCTCATATGCAAAAGGAAATAGAGGGGTAGGGAAATTAGAAAACCAAGAAAGTGAAACATCAGATACAAGCAGTGCAAAAGATGATCCAAAAATCCATACATGGTCCAAGCACTTCTCCCCAGCTGCCCGGAAGGTGCGACAAATCACTGCAGGGATGAAAGCAGGGCCATACTCATAACCCCGAGCACCACCAGAAGAAAAGGAAGAAGCTATTTCCTGACACCGTTAAAGATAGGATTTTTTAGAAAGTCTTCAGAATCTAATGGACATGACATATGCTCTAGTAGAATGCAGAAACAAACACAATAAAAACACAGAACAGAAAGTGACCTCGGTAATTCTTGGGATAGCACTTTGCTCAATGAAAAGAGATAGTTGAGCGAGCAGAAGAACAAGCCCAGGAAGGACCTTTTCTCCTTGCACTCCCTGTGTCAAACTTAGATCTTGACTACCTGAGTTACTCTTGCCTGAAAGAAAGAGGAATCGCTCATTGAGTTTTCTGAAGAATTCTTGAAATCCTTCTTGTACCCAGTCAATAGTTAAGTCTCTCAACTTCAATGATAGTTCAAGTTTTTCATCAAGAAGCTGACGGAAATCCTGAAATATGAAATCCATGGGAAAGACTGAGAACTAATCAAGAAGAACGTAACAGGTAATCTTCCGTTCAATGGAATCAGTAACATGCATTGCAGAATAAACAACGAAGCCTCCTTTGCCACCCAAAAAAGAGAAAAATGTCAAGAATTATGGAAATACCAACTTATGGGACCTGTTAAGCAACAACAATTGGTCACTGCCTACACAGTGTAGGACATCAATAGACTTCAAGATGTGGCTTTACAATATTGCAAGCATATTCATTACAATAAGCAATTCATTTAACACAAATCAACTAAGCATCAATACAAAATAAGTTTGTCTTCCTACACATGACAAAAGTTGTTCCTCGTGATGCATAAATCCCTAAACTTGTTAAACTTAATGAGTTTGAATCAATGTAATCTGGGTAGGAACACATTACCAGCATATGGCATTCATAAAATAGTGAAATGTATTTTATACAGAGAGAATCCACATTGTAGCTTTTTCTGTACTCATAATTGGCAATTGATGGCAGGATTTGTGGTTGTTCAAGCTAGCAGGTGAAGGTATATTTACTCAAAAAATGGAACAACAAAACCTACTCCTCACCCCTACCTGCAACACACACACACAAGCGCAAAGGGGGAAAACAAAGAGAAACAGAGTTTTACAATGAAGTATAGCAGCACAGGCATTCATGAAAACAACCTTGATCATTACCCGCCATCCTCGAAACAACCTTGTTATTGATGTCCTACAACACTCTGTAGGCAGTGACATCAAGAGACTTCAACCTTGTTACACAGTGTAGGGGCAAGCAGAAAATGTAGATAATCAGAGCATAGGCATTCTAGAAGACAACCTTGTTCATTACCCCTCATCCTTGCTCCTCCTATTCCTTTTGATCCCCATATTTTAAAATTTTATTGAGAGACTTTCAAAGGAAAAATGACATGCAATTTCAGAAGTCCTGGCTTTACCGAAAGCCACAAGCTACCAGCTCTTACCAGCAAGACATTCATACAGCCTTGAATTACAGCTTTTTTGCTTGCTTCAAGCACAGACTGCAAAGGGTATTCTTCTTCTACACCCACCTTTTGCCTATCCTGGACTTTCATGATGGTACCTGCCAGTTAAGAAGATGGTAAATCAACTTTTCATCAAATGATCTGTTCCTTTGAAACTTGAATTGCTAATTCATCATATTTAAATGAATAATGTCCTTTAACTTAACCAAACTCTGTTGAGGATTACCCAGAAGGGCCAACACTTGAAACCTATCAAGTTCCTTTAGCAGCAGAAAATGAATGTTTATTATTGAATATTCCAACTCCTTAAATACTTTCTGAACTCAAAACAGCAAGACATGGCTTCTCAAAATTCAGATCTCAAAGTAGAATGCATCCTATTTACTCTAGACACAAAAGCAGAATACTGAAAGACTAAAAAACTAGTTCTCACAATTAAAAATTTTAATTAGTAAGTTAAACTGGTCTGATTCTTTATCCCATAGTGAATCCTTCT